GTCAGTTCAGTGAAGAAAGACTCGGGTTTCTTCTTTCTTTCAGCGTTTTCGTGGTATTGATACTGTATGATGTGTAACAGTAAGAAACTATTCAGTTACTAGTTACAAAAGTACCTGTCATTTGCTTTGCAAATTCTCAAAGATGTCAGAACAAGGATGCATATAGGAACAAAATCATGCCTAGCTGCTATGTCATTCAGACAGCCTTAAGCTTTTTTAGGCAGTTAGGTGGAAAAAATTACCAAACGTAAGTTATCACTTGCTTTGAGTGGCCCAATATCTCCAAAGACATCAGTGACAATATAAAGGAACTAGTTCTGTGGTGTGTTGCAGCTATTGACACTGCTGGAGACTTACCTGACTTGACAACTGACCTGCTATTCTAGGTATTGTTTTTTTGTTTCAGGGCTTTTTTTGATTAATAAGACTATAAGAAGGGTTGTAATTTGGCCCAATTTATTCACAGCAAATTGATCCAGGCTAATTGATCATTTAGCCATTTCAAGAAATGAGATAGAATATTGTTCCAGACTCCTACAAGCCTTGATGTAAAGAAGTAGCTCCCGCTCTCAGTATTTCCACTTCTCAGTTTCCGCTTGTGCTCTCCGGTTTGTGTTTCACGGCTGATCCTGACAGACTACTGGCACTGAACACCTCAAACGCCTAGCAGTTCTTTCAATAATTTAAAAAATAAAAAAGTTTGCAAATTACAAACATGAAAGTATTAAGCCCAGCTGGAAGCACATTTTCACCACTCCAAAGAAATGTGGAGAGTCAAAAGAGGGTTCAAAGAATCTCTATCCAGCTGCGCTGATGTGTAGCAACACTGACACACAACTATAACACAGTGGGTTATTTTTGACTGGAAATATAAATCATTAGAGAGAGGGAGGTCTGCTCCTGAACCTATGTCAATTCGGTAGCTGAAAAGAAACATTCTCTTGATGATGAGTCAAGGTCTACTTCAATCACAGGATAACACTTTTGTCACAGCAAAAATAACACTTTTTGTAGAATTTAACCACTGTGTTATACAATATATGACCAGCAGAACAAGCACAAAGCTACAATGAAAAGCTTAGAAATAAATGTTTTGTTAAGTGTTGAAATCTAAGATGTAATATATTACTAACTTTAATATAACCTGAAACCTGGGAAACCAGCAATCTCAAACTGAATGTAAGAAATGACCCTGGGCACCACAGTGTTGTTGTTTTAGCTGACAGGTAGATAGTTATTCTTTGCATTTATTACTTCATTGGCTATACTTTTGCCTCAGACTTACCATCTGGTTAACCAGCAATTGTTTTGTTTTAAAATGTAAACGTAACACTCCCTTAGTTTCATGTTATCTATTTTTTAAAAAGTTAGAAGTTATTTTAACTCTTATGTGGGCTGAAACAAAGCCCAGCACAAACTCTGTTATTCCTCCTCCTTTACGCTACATTATGTTCTGGTGTTCTCTGAAATATTGAAGACATCGTCATACTTTTGGGACTGTCTCTTCAGCACGTTTTCATCCGACATGGGATTATGGAGACAAGTGCAGATTAATGGGTGTTTCTGAACAAATCAAAAGTGAAACTGCAAGATATAAAAATGCATTTTTCACTGTCTCATCTGCATGTAGGTTTCCCAGCAGAAACCGTTTTACACAGCCTTCACCTGAAATGCACTTAACTTGGTTGGCCAGCCTATACTCTGTTTTAACATATCAACTTTTCTTTCAGCTCTCACTTACCTGCATATTCACTTCACAGTCCCCATAAGAAGCAGGCCATTCATTTTAAAAACATTTTTTTGAGTGATTTGAAAGAACGAAGCAAACTGATGTATTACTTTTAAGATTATTTTCATGGGGAATCCATTATTTATTCGATTTCCATAATATTCTTGAAATTACAAGTGGAGTATACTCCTAGGTCATTAACAAGAAAGCTGCACTGCCATCTGAGGGCCTTCTGGAGAACTGTTGAATATCATCATGGAAACAATTTCAGATCTGTACTGTTGCCAAATATCTGATCATGACCAGATTAACAGGGTTTCTGAAAGCACCATTAATTCTTGCATGTGCCTCCCCCTATCCCCCGATCAAGGGGAACAATACTTTCTTCAACACAAATAGATGACATATTCAATGCTACATTCTCATGGTAAGGAGCGTGTTCCAGATGTTAAAGTGGAAACAAAAGCTTGTGTAAAAATACCCTAATAAAAAAAATTTAAAAGGCTTTTCTTCTATGTGTAGAACTGTACTTGTAGAAATGCAACCATCACTTCATTATATTTTTGGTGGGGAACAAGGAATAAAAAGACTGACTCTCTGTTATTCCTGCTCTCGTTCTGAACGATAAAAAAGTGGGCTTAGGATGTGACGTGCAGCACGAGGGCGATGGGGAGCACGTGTGCTCATGGCTATCGTTTCCTTCTGCGCACTTTCTGTTTGATGAGGAAGAGGTCCTCGTCTACGGGGAAGCTGTTGTCATGGAGACGGCCTTGCCTTCTCTTGGCCTTCTTTTTCGGCCTGAGTTTCCTGGGCTTCTCCTTGCTGGGCTGGCTCAGTGTGCTGAAGAGCCCTGGGCTCCTGCTTCGCTTCTTTGGGTGAACGGGGACACCTGAGGAGGTTTTTTTGGGGCCCCTTGGAAAATCCTCAGTATCTTCCACTACCTCCTGCCGGGCTTTTCTCCTCTGCTGCTTAAGCAGCCACAGCTCCTTCCGTTTTTCTGGCCAGGTCTTTGTCTTCTTGTTCTGCTGCTTCGGCTGTTTGCTCTGCTTGGGCTTGGGAGGCTGGGCCTCCCCTCGTTCCTTCTTCTCCTCCACCGTGGCCGTTTTCCTCCTCTTGCTGGCTGGCTCTTCACGCAGTAAACCAGCTCCGTAAAGCTCTGAAGACATTGTTAACAACAAAGCAACAAACAAAACAAAAACATGATCAAATGATTGGTTGCCTTCTCCATGCTCCCTCTTGTTCTGTTTATCCTATTTTCATGTCATAAATGCGCAAGAGCTGGCCTCGTCTCTCAGACCAGACACACTAAAGCTCTAGCAAGAGGGTGTCATTTGTGGCCTTAATTTCAAGCTTCGACACTGTGTGCATAAACATCATACTCATAACCTATAGAAAAATAAATTGAGTATCAGTTTTTATTCCCACACATTTTCTTATTCCATGTGCTTATATAATATGACTTATCAGGTATAGTTTTTTACAGATTTCTTTCCATTTTATACCCACTCAATGTAGAGCTGCCAATTGTTTCTTTCCATCTCTCATGCCCATACAGAGAGAGTGAGCCGATCATCTTCCGACACACTGCAGGCTCCACAGCTCCCTGACAGGACTGCAGGCATCGACCAGACGAGCAGTGCTTCTGTTACTGACGCTGCTCCAGGCCTGCGCCCCTGAAGCCAAGAGATCCCTGGCCAACCGTTCCCAACCCCGTTCCGGAAGCAGGCAGCCAATGAAGAGCAGCCACATGGGAAATCCTGGTCACAGTCGGCTACTGTTATGATCCAGGCTCAAACCCGCAAGATCAGAGCCACGGAACTCAGCCTGTGCTCAGAGCGAAAGCCTTTACTGCTTGAGTCACTCGAGAGCTCCTAGGGCAACACCTTTCGAACGACTAATGAAAATGGAAAGGACTGTGTTAGAACCGCAGTCGCCAAGCGTCACTTCTGCACTAACCTGCCACACTGAAGCATAGGCAGCCTCTGAAGCACTGCTCTGGTGATCGCTTCACTGAAATGGGGTTAGGCCTTTAACTGAAATCTCTCTGTAGTCTCTGTGATGTGTAAATGACGGATTCTTTTTCTAAAATGTTACACCACAACCCTCAACACAGACAAGCAACGCAGGCCGTCATAGAGTATTTGTAAGTCACATTTAATGTTTTTAATCCTAACGCCTTATAATTATTAAAGCCGAGATAAAACATAATGTAGTATAATTCAAAGTACCTTGACAGCAACGTGCAAATATCTTTTAAAGATTTTTTGTGCACCAAACGTCCAAGCCTGCAATATCCCTGTGCTTTGGACCATTTTGAGTGTCACTATATAGGTGTCTCTGTTACTGTTCCTAAACACTGTCACTGTGCCTTTGATTGGACTGGTCCCAAAGTGCCCTCTACTACATGAACCCACCATAGGAGAAAAAACATCACAGACCTTGAGCTCTCTTCCAAACCCGGTGATTCGTTCCCTCAATATCTGGCTTTGTGTCATAGTAAGTAATGAAAGGGAGAGTGGGGAACGTATTATTGAACATTCTTTTCTGCTTGCATTCCTAGAAAAACAAGATCAGACACACAATATGATGTCACAACGTTTCAGATGTTTCAATGTGTTACACTTTACACTTCGGTGTGAGGAGGATGCTAATTTGTTGAAATCTAAGGGATGTCATTAATTATTGTTCTGTTAACTAGCAGTTATTTTCACCTTGTTTGGCTATGGCTGCTGTTAAAGACAGCAAAAACACATACTCAAGAAAATATGCCACTATATTGAGGAAATCAAAGTGGACAGAGTAATATGTTTTTTGGGCAAACATGTCAAAAGGAGAATTCACTCTATATAGTCTGTTTTTCATCATTAAGTGATGACTTTAAAATCCCTAACAATTGTTGGTGACATTTTACCTAAAGAAAAATATTGCGGGTAATTTTAACCAATACTTCCAATATAAAAGCCAGTGGATAATTTAAAGACTAAAATGTATTAGTAAAACATTTTTTTTTAAATTCCAGTATTCATTTAGTTTTCCCTTAATCTTCCATTTAAAAAAGTGTATGACTTCACCAACAAGGCTTGACAGGCATATTGGTGGAAGTTAAATTGACAGTAATATCCATACAGTAATTTAGTATAGCTGACACATGCTGATAAACAGTACACAGCACAGAATATTTTAAACAAACAAAGATTATATCCTTAGGATTATCCTTTGTTAGTGCTTGGTTTTGTGCTTGGTGCAGAGTATAGTATTACTTGAAATAAATACCACAGTTTTAAGGATCCGATGACAAGACTAAATTAATACCGTTATTAATAATAATAATAATAATAATAATAATAATAATAATAATAAATCTAGGAAATCTGTCAATATTGGAAGTGTCATAATTGAACCATAGTGAAATAACGGGGTTTCTAAATTAATTTCTGATATTTATGATACAAATAATGCATTTCAAATATCATGACTGTGGCAATTCAATTCTTTTCATATATTTTTTGGTCACGTATTTTCTTTTCATGGATTATTAGGATGCACAGAAAAAAAAAAAAGTAATTCAAATGTGGCTTGGATCTGCACGGTTTTATACAGCGGTGCCTCTGTATGTCCTGTAAGCGTGAGAGAACGAACCTCTGTCAGTCTGCGGCTGGTTCACAGCTGCGCACAGGCACTGCCAGCACAGATGAGGTCTACTTACATGTCCTAAATGCCCTTTTCGAGAGCAGTTGTAGCAGTAGGCCGGGCTTTTCTGTTTCTCTTTGTCATCAGGTATGACAATAGGCCCCGAGGAAGTCTAAGATGGAAAGGAAATAATCACATCAATGAATGATGTTAATATACAGTCTAATGAAAAACAGGGGGGTGGCAACAATGCATATTGTTGCGATTTGGGGGCAGCTGGGTTTCAGCAGGGTTATCAATGTTACCAGCAAACTGACCTTAATCAGTAAGTCTGGGATAACGGAGAAACTGTCCTTGGTCTAGAAGGAAACTAACATGGATGAGGACACAGATGATTATACTCAGTCCTAATAATTTACTCAGGTTAATGAACTTCACAGTACATCATTATGATTGCCATACTGAAGAATATACATACATATTGAACAGTGACAGGGCCATTACTAGTGAGGTCATTAAGTTAGTCTTCATTGGAACAGACCACAGAATAAATACAGGCATACACATTCACAAAGAGGAGAGGAGGAGAAAAAGAAAAAGGAAGAAGTGAAGAAATAATAGCATCCAGATGTATAGCTGTGCCATGGGAGGGTTCCTCTTGCCAATTTAACTTGGAAATGGATTCTGTCCAGATCATCCTAGGACTGTAAAGAGGGCCTGAGCATTATTATAAGGCAGCTAGCTGTCTTATCTACTTTAGGAAATGTTTATGTCCTACATCGAGAAATCCTGAGGATAAAAAATCTCCTAAAATCTCTTCTATTTTACTGATACATTTTGTTAGCATAGGGAATTTCGTTCTCATTCATCCGTAGACATCTTTGTTTTAGAGAGGGATATTTAGTCCTGGGTAGTATCAATTTTTTATTAGGACTCATTTTTTCTCTCTTTGGCCTAGTTAGGTTTTATGAGGTATTTAGATTATAAGAGCAGAGTTCTGGATTTACAGAAGGCAGGACTAAGAACTCCACCAATTCCACTGGTACAGTGTCAGAACTTGTTTTTTGTTATTAATTACATACCCTCCCTATGTTTATACCTTTATGACACCCCCTTTGTTGCAACAATATCAACAATCTCTTCACAGACAGTACTATATACTATATAAAGAGAATGTTTCTAGTAAATCAAGCATCTTCTGGTTTGCCTGTACTGGTAAATACAAGTTGAAAGATAGCTTCAGGAGCAAAGCACGGCAGTACAAGCAAGTGGTCTGCAACAATAGTTACACTCCTGTTGTTTTCAATCAGTTTCATGTGTCAGAGGAAATGATTTTCGGCTCATTTCACAGCCCTTCTCTAGCATTAACAGGGGGTTCCCAGCATCTGTGACACATTCCAGTGCAACCTGAATCGTCTCTGGTGTTCCCTTTGCTTCTAGTCTAAATTTCATAGCTGCATAAATTACCTGGAGGGATGGCTTTGTTTCCCTGTGCTTAATGAAACGGCACAAAAAGATTACTCTGGCGAAAAATATCTTCAGAACTGGTTTTACTCCCATGTGATTTGAAAAAGACTTTTCAGTCATTGTTTTCGACTTTCTAACATGAAATAAATAGTACGTCTAAAACGATGAGGGAAAAGCTGCTCACTAAAAGTACCACTTTGAAGTACTGTTTTTTATAATCATGGCCTGATTGTTTTCTGGATGAAGTCATTAATATTACTGACATACTCTGAAAGCCAACATTTTGTCTTTTACAGTCCTGGCTTTGCAAAGTTGGTTTATTTTTAAGGCATTTGCAGTAATAAAGAGTGATGGCTGGAGAGTTAACCTGAAGAAGCCTGGCTTTAGGAGTGCGATAAGCCTGGGGTCATAAGCCTTTCCTTTTCCATCACTCCGGCCTTCTGCTGGGCTTTTGGGCTGCTCTGCATATTAAGCAAGAGAAAAAGCGACTGGCTTAATAGAGCCTCTTGTTACTGTGGTAGAAATGAGCAGTAATGAAGAGCTCTGGACCCTGAATGTAGGATTAATGGAAACTCACTGGGAGCAGCAGAGTGGTCTACATCAGCAAGTGCTGCAGCTAAACAATTCTGGAGTCAGAATCTAATTGGAGTACCCTGCGATCAGGGAGTGCTGTTTGAAACTACACAAAAATAAGCACAGAAAATGTCAATGTTTCCATCGCAATTCTTTTGTTGGGAGACATCCAGATAATACCAAGGCCGTGTTTTTACAATTGGTTCTTTGTCTCCTCAGTTGAAGAGTTGTGGCCTGGAACAAGATGACTGGATTTGTGATGGCTAGGCGGTAGGGAAATCTATAAATAACTGAATTGATAACATGTTTTTATCACCGCTGTAGAACAATTACACATTTCAGATTGGTGGCGAATTTTGTTTTACCTGGGATTTTTTATGGATGACATAAATTCTTCAACTGTTTCTTAGCTGACAATAAGGTCTAATTTGCAATTTAATTGTCGCATGAATGGGCTGTCCAAGTTCTCAAGAATTCCATGATTATCGATGTCATGAGAGACTGGAAGAGCAATGGGCAAAGTTACTTTCTTCAAGAGTACTAGACTAAAGGCTAGGTGGCAAGTAATGAAAAACATACAACGAAATATTTCAGGCAGCACGTTATTTATAACCTAGTGGATGAGCACGACCCTCAGCCCAGATTCATGATGGAACCAGGGCTATTGATACAAACAATTGTCAGGCAATCATAGAAGTCCTACTGCACAGCCTAGCTTAGGACATGGTGTCTGACATTCAGACCATTGCTCTTATTTGGATTTACCTAGTATTAAACCAATTGGACTAATTTAAAAAGATTCTACATTTTCTGCAGGGTTTCAAGAGGGAAAACTCTAGAAGAATGAGGTCTGTAAGTGACATCTTCACATTAAAAAGTAAGAAATGGCCCATAACTATAGGAATTAGCGCCACAAATCTTTCGGGTCACAAAATGTGACATGATTCATTTGTATGAATATGATGCAAAGTGGGACATGCACACCAAGGTGTATCTATACATACTGCATATACATGTAAACAACTGAAAAATGAGTAAGGGCTCTGGATCTCTAACAGGAAGGTTGTGGGTTCGAATCCAAGGTGGAGTTTGGCTCTTGGGTAAGGTACTTCACTCAGAATGCTCCAGTAAAATGCACAGCTGTATAAATAGGTACAAATGCAAGCTGCTCTACATAAAATTATCAACCAAATAAATTAAAAATAATCATCATCATCATCACATCCCCTGCCTGCCCTTTGCATCTACATTAATCCCACAGCCTCACGTAAACAAATATATAACAGCCCTGGGAACACTAATACTTATGCTACGTAAGTATGCTGCCTTTTTCCCCCTCTTTCGCCAAACCTCTGAGATGTTAAGGCATCATTTTATTAAATATAAAAATGTCTGTTATCAACTCACTTAAGGCTCCTAATGCTCTGATATTCGGCCAAAGCTCTGGACACGAGCGCTGAATGGAATAAACTATTCATGAACAGCCTCTTTGCAGTTTCTTTTTTTTTTATTATTTCTCTTTTCTTTTTTCCTCCCCTCCCTTAGAAACATTAAAATAATCTATATTTTGTGGGACGATATCTGCCAGCGATTACTCAGGCTATCAATATATAGGAGTAATAACCTGGGAGATAGCATTACCTAGGAAAAAGGTCCGTCCCCATCTGCTCTTGGCGCTGAAAGCTTTTCATGCTCCAGTAAGTTCAGTAAATATCAGCCGATAAAAAGCGTAAGCCTACCACACCACGGATTTGCTCCTAATGTCTCCTCAAAGTGCAGCCCCCGATGCAACGATTACAAATGATTTTCTTCTAATGTCATTTTTACATAACCCCCTTTTTCTTTCCGCATGAGTAGTTCGCCGGGGAATGAATGAATGCCATTAAAACAGTTAATCATTATCTTGGCGACACTGGCCTTCCTCCTCTTTGCAGGACGGAATCACCATCACAAAGGCCAGGAGATCAGCACACCCAGACCCCGACCTATCTCCCCCTTGCTCATTTTTTATGCAAATTGGCCTGTAGGGCCAGCTCCCAGTGTGACCTTGAGCTTCCCTTATCTAAACCCACTTTGATCCAACAAGAGCTTTCTACACATCCAAAACTCATTACCACTGTACGTGCATGTGCTTGTGTGTGCGTGTGTGTGTGTGTGTTCTGCTGCTTCTATTAATTAATAGGATTGCCTCCCACAGTTCATCCACCCTGTCGCTGTTTCATTAGTTTCTTCTCTGCTCTTCTCTTTTTAAATGGATCCTGGGCTTGCCTGTTTTGGTGGCTTTTGCAGGCACATATGTCGCTACATAAGAGCTACTCCTGATAACCTGTGCTCACACGTAATTTTTTAAGAGGCATCCTGAGACTGATTGACCTGAACTTCTGTCCTAGCGCAGGGCTCCCACTGCCTCTTTAATCTCACTATGCATGCAAATAAATGCATATGACTGCTGGTCTGCATCTACCGCCTGCAAATCTTTGGTTTTCATACAGTTGCATGAAAGCTCCGTTTAGTTCGATTAAGTGAGCCATAAATAACCACAGCTGTAATACGCATGGCGTGAGAGGTCTGTGCAAGGTTCCAACCTACAGAGGAGCGTACAACGGCAACCATGCAGGGAAAAGAGAGAGCAGTGTGGCAGAGTGGAGAGATTCCTCCAGGACAGGACCGAGACTCAGCGGTCAAGCAGGCAGGAGTCTATCACAGGTCCCACTGGCAGTAAGTCTATATGATACGGGTCCCTTAGCTCAGCTCTGGGAGAGATGCAGGAACGCATAGAATGGTTGGTTACACATACTCATGGCAGGTCAGGGAGGTCACGTTTTGCAGATCATAATGTGCTTCATTCCGTAATACCCCCGGCAGCCTGTGCTTAGCCTTGGCTTTAAGTGCCTCCCTAGCAAGACGTCTGGAGAGCTGCCCAGCAGAGAGGCCAACAGGCACAAGGCTCTGATGTGGGGGTGCATGGGGGGGGGGGCTCCCGTCAGCACCATCAGCTGAACTCTCCACGCTGTCATCTCCATGCACCGATTCGCCAAACAGTCGGAACCAAGATCCGAAGAATCAAAGCTTCTGTACCGAGCGCAGAAACGACAAAGTACAGGATTACGACGGCGAGCTGTCTAACGTCCT